GAGATGCGGGAGCTCCCCGGCTGCTGCCTTCTCGGCCTCCTTCTAGGCCTTTGCCCGTTCCCCCCCGCGCTAGCTGTTGGTATGCTGAGTTGTCAGTGTCTTCACAAACCGTCGGTGTCAGTGCTGAAAATTTAAAATCCGGGTTTAAAGGAGAGAGTTTTAGGTGAAAGTTTACGGTGCCGTGTTCAGGAAGAGCCGTGTTGTCACTGACCTAACGGAGGCGAACTCGTCCCACAGGGCAGTGCTGATGGGGAATCGTTTCTGGGTTGCATGAAAGAAGAGGCGTGGTATGGAGACACGTGGGTATGTTTCATCTGCATCCACTGATGCTTTGCGTTATCCCTTTGCCTGTAAGAAGCCTTCTTGTTTTCTTGTCTGTTGTAGGATTTTCTCCTAAAATCATTGCTTTCAATGTTCTACATTAATTATTGTGTTTTTCACTGTCCAATAGTACGTAGTGCTTTTCCTGTCTCAGGGTACTTTCCTTATGGATAGTCCACTCCACTTTCTTTCCCCTGCTTTCTCTTGGCTCACTGTGTCCTAACCCACCTCCAGCACAGGCCCTGGGTTATCTGACAAACCTTCAGTCCTAAGAGCACTCCTGCAGGTGGTGTAGTACCAGAGGCTGGAGGAAACGTGGGAACTGCTTCATTGTGCAAGGGAAAGGTATTGCCTATCAGCAAGGCAGCATTAGATGCCTGTGTGGAGGCTCTTACTGCACAGCTAAGGTTGTGGGTTTTTGGTCATTCTTTCTGTAAATGTGCTCTGATGAGCTTTCTCTTAATCCTAGCCTTTAAGTACTAACATCTATGCACTCTGCAGACTTTCTGAGCTTCCCTTTTATGAGGCCCAGTTGAGAATGTAAGGCAAGGTACATTTGCAGGGTAGTTTTTAGCAAGAAAATCTTTACTCTTTGTTTGTTTAAGTTGGGCATGCGATACTTATATTTTTCACATAAATGCTCAGAAAAATGTCACATTTGAGTGGGAAACTGAGAATTATAGATGTATCAACAACAACAAAAAAAGGTGCAAAAAGCCATGGTCATTGTTTTAAAACTCATAAAGTACATAATATGTATGAAGTGATTTTTAGGTTTATTTTGGTGTGTTGTTGGGTTTTTTTTATTATTTTGGTTGGTTTGTTTGTTTTTCCTTTTTCTGTTGGAAAATGGAACTTGTGTGCCTGGCTTTAGAAGGTGATGATGTCAGTTTATTTAGTATCACAGAATGTTTCAGGCTGGAAGGGACCTCTAGAGGTCATCTGGTCCAACCTCCCTACACAAGCAGGGACATCTCTGCCTAGGTCAGGTCACCCAGGGCCCTGTCAAGCCTGACCTTGAATGACTCCAGGGTTGGGGCCTCCACCGCCACTCTGGGCAGTCCTTTCAATGATCTGTTACTCTTATGTTAAAGAATTTTTTTCTAATATTGAGTCTAAATCTGTCCTTTCCTAGTTTAAAACCATTACTCCTTGTTCTGTCATTACAAACCCTTTTGAATAGACCTTCCCCCACCTCCATGTAGGCCCCTCTCAGGTACTGGAATGTTGCTGTAAGGTCCCCCCAGAGCCTTCTCTTCTTCAGGCTGAACAACCCCAGCTCTCTCAGCCTGTCCTCATACGAGAGGTTCTCCAATCCCCTGATCGTTTTGGTGCCCCTCCTCTGGACTCCCTCCAATATGTCCCCATCCTTCTTGTGCTGGGGGCTCCAGAGCTGGATGCAGTACTCCAGGTGAGGTCTCACCAGGGCAGAGTAAGTATAGAGTGACCTAATACATACTGCTCATCAAATCTTGGGCATATCAGTCCTCAGGTCTCTTTTCCTGCTGGTAAACTGCTGCTGCTTTTATTTATAATGTGCTTTGAGATGTGATAGTGAAAGGGCAATAAGTAAATATTTCAGTGCAGATGAAGGGGAGGTTGGCAACAAGTTGCTAAAACTTGTGTTTTGTATGAGGTCATTCCATGACTGGACTTAGAACTTTAGCTTTAGGAATTACTGATAACAGTACAGTAATTAGTGATGATCTTAAAGTGACATGCTCCTTTCCTACAGGTCTGAGCTTTAAAAGAAGCCTTGTCTTGCATATTCTGTTTGAGAATTGCCCCTTTAAAACCTTTTATCTCTGGGTGTCTTAAGGCAGATAAAGTGATAGTTGTGGTTTGTTTTGTTTTCCAGAGCTGTGAGAATGTGAAGATAATGGCTCGAGGCTTCAGTATATATTGTCTGTTTGTATTGTTTCTTTTTCTGAACTGTCGTTTCAGGAAAATGATCTCCATAACTTTCAGTTTGATTGGGATTTGATGTCTTGGGACTCAGACCTTTGGAATATCACAGGTCATGCTTGTGCAGGTAATTAACCTTCTGTATTTTGCAGGTGTGAATAGTCCCCATCCCACAGGCATGAACTGTTACAACTTAAGGGTGGTGTCACTTCTGTGGAACTGTTTAATGTCCTGCAGCCTTTAGCTCTGAGTTGAGAAGTCCTGCTGTGTTTCTGTAGGATGGGTACAGCTGGGCAGGACTGCCCTGTAAACTGACCTGTTTAGTATGTTTAATCTCACAGTGTTTTCTGCTGTGCTTTGCTTCAGGAGTTAAATAGCTGATGTCAGGCAGCGTGTTCTTCACTGATCTCCCTTTGCTAAAAACTTGTGCACTAAAAATCTCTTTATCTGCCTCTTGCAGATGAAGGCGTGAAGTCAGAACCCTTGTCACCAGCCACGTCAAACTGTTCTGTCCCTTCTCCTCCGTCTGTGGACTCTCCAATGCAGAATGTGCCCGTATGCAGAAACCTCCACGTAACACAGATAGCAGTGGTCATTCAGAACCAGCTGTGACAAACAAAAGGCCCAGTGGTTTACTTGTCTGGAAACAGCTCATTTTTCCAACCTATGCAAAACAAATTCCCTTCAGTAATGTTTTCTTTCCTTTCCCGCTGTGACCCATTCTAAAAAGAGCATGTTGAGTTCTGTTTCCTCAGTTGTGTTTATTAGCCTGGTTGCCAAACAAAATGCCTTTTAAAGGCTTCTGAAGCCAGCAGTTGTTGGTCTCTGCCTCCTGTTGCTCTGCAGATAAGGAGAAGTACTTGTTTGCTTTTCAGTGGTGCTTAGCACTGACCAGAACAAAACTGCAGGACAAAGCCTTTCCTCCTGCTTGCTGCAGCAGCAACACAGATGCGATGAAAGGCAGTTATAATCTGAACTGCAGATAGACACTTTTATGTGTTTCTGAAGCATTAATCTCATGTATTTTCTCTCTGCAGGATGATGTGGACTTCAGCAGTAGCTCCGAGATGTCTCCCATCTCTCTCTACAGCAAGAGCTGCAGAAGCCCTCCATCCCCTGAAGGAGATGAGGAGAAGAAGCCTCCTGTCAGCATCACTTATCGGTCTGGTATGAGAGATGGGTTACTTTGATTCTGCAGATGAGATGTGTTGTCTTGCATGCAAATGTCTAACTAGCACACTAGTATATCAGGTCGTTTCGGACTTCAATTTGTGATCAGATATGTCTATTTTTAACAAATATTATAGATGGGTAAAAAAAAACACCTATACCAAATGCTGTGTTATTACTGCTTGAATTCTTTATTTTATATCTTCTGATCAACTCTGACTCTTTTTTCCTTTCCTAGCAAATAATTCTGCGAGGACTCTGAAGAGATGTGGTCAGACAGCATCCAGGCCTTTGATACAACCCAAACCACTTTTGCCTGCTGCACCTGAAGCTCAGGCTAACATTGTCATCCCAGCTAAAACCATCATTATTCAGACTCTGCCCACACTTGTGCCACTGCAAAAGCAACAGCCAGTGGTTAACATCCAGCCAGCACCTCCTAAAGGTTAGGAGCATTGTCTTGATTGAGCCAGGTCTTGGGAGTAAATACTGTGTCTTTTTGGGATGGTAGCTAGGCTGGAGTTAGCTTTGGTGATTGAAATGGAAGGAATAGGAGAAAAAAGTGGAGTCCTGCATGCTTCGCTGAAAAAGTATTGGAATGAGAAGATGGCCTTACTCCTCTCTTGTGTTGTATACTTGTATACTCATGGAAGACAGTATATCAAAAGAGACTATGCTGAGCACTGGCAGTTGTGGAGATAAAACTGCTGATTTGGAAGGATTTCCCAGGGACCCTTTGCTCTGCTCTACTTGTGATGCCAAGCAGTGCATAACAACGGCTACCTGTTCTGTCATATCCAGAAGAAGATCCAGCAGAATCAGTGAAAAGGCTTGAATGAAGCCATGGCTTGGGAGGAGTGATAAAAGCTGTTGGTTTTTTTTGTTTTTTTTTTTTTATCCACATGATGTTCTGCCACAGGATGGCGGGAACATGAGTTTGTGGCTTTTTATCTCACTAAACAGCATTAAATAGGACATTGTGAAATACACTGAAAGTCAAGAGAGCCATGTCATATGTTAGAAAAGTTGCTCACAGCTGCAAAGTGATGTTAACAAAAGGAAAGTGATTCCTGTCCACTGATAAGTCTTCATTCCCCCTGTTGCCCTGTAAAAGATATTTGAGGTGGCTTGAGCCTTTATTTTGGTGTCCAAAGCATTATTCTAGCCTTAGCTAAGGCAGCAGGAACATGACTCCCATCGCTGAAATGGTCAGGTGCAGTTGCACGTTTTCACCAGCCGATGGCTGCAGTGTCTTGTAGTTGATGTACAGGCATTGAGACTTGGAAGGAAAAGGAGACATAATTAAAAGTCATGTATCTAGAAAATATTGCAATAGTGAAAAATTTATTTGTTACTGATTGCTCTTCCATCGGGAGTTATGCCAAAGCTGGAGACGCTGACGTTTGTTACAAGATGTCTAAGATTGCTAGATCGCTTAAAACCCAGGTCAGCACGGTCAGCATGACCTAATTCTTATTCCTTCTGATGTTCCAGCTGATAAAATACCATCTGGAGTAAGGAATGTAGGGGATATGGATTTTTTGGATATAAGTGTGGCACTGTGGAGATCAGCTGCTGCTTTTTCCTGAAGAAAAGTCAGGAGAGTAGTTTCTGTAAGGCATTGTGGAGGAAATACTTTTGGAAGGTATTTCCATGACATGTATTTGCTTTAACTGATGGGGTGTTTAAAAATTCAATTGTGCTGCTTCTATAACAAAAACTATAAGGATCTTTATGATCATGACAAGGTGGAGCTATCTGTTTGTTTGAAATATGCCATTATCTTCAAAGGAGCATGAGGAATGATATTTTCACAGTCCCTTTTATGAAAGCTTAAATACGAAAGCACGAGCTTAGGGCTTTACATACTTTATGCCTACAAAAAATTGTTGAAATAATCTCAAATTGACCATTTGAGGCTCTTAAATAGAGTAACACGAACTTGTGATGTCCTCAAGATAATCTTTGCAAAAAAAGGGACATCTAATCCTGCACCTCATACGTGAAAGATCTTGGCACTAGGTAAATATTTCCCTTTTTCACCTTCCAGAAGGTTGGATAAATGCTGAAATACATCATCCTGCATTTTTCTTGGAATGTTGTGTTTCTGAAAGCTGTTGAGGTCATCCTTTTACAAATGATTAGAGAGACATTGATTTGTTTTCAGACAACAGTTACTTGAGCACCTGCTTGAGTTAGATGTTGTTGTTGGACCGAAATTTCTGACAGCTGTCTTTAATTCCATTTCAAACTCTGTCAAAATTACCTCATATTTTTTCTGCTTACTTTTTTTAGGCTCTCTTTAGGATGTGCATAAAATTTCTTACACAGACACTTTTAAAAAAAAATAAATTGCTCATCTTAGTGTGAATTGAGACTTCAGCTTGCATTCTGAAATATTCTTTTTTCTTGTTCAACCTCCTATATGCTGGTTCTGAGTTGGCTTGTATAGTATGAATCACTTCTGTGTAGTAAGTTTTCCATTGAATACAGCAATAAAGGAAGGCTGGACAAAAGAGAGAAGAAGGATTGATGTAAGCTCTCTAAGTGAAAAATTGCTCAAAGTGCATTGTGTTAGTAATACTAAAATGAGTATTGTTCCTAACAACTGGAGTTCTATTGAGTTTGAAGAGCTTTTGGGAGAGAGCTTGATTTATTTGATCTCTTTAGTACGTGTAGTTGTGCTTCGCAGGGTAGATTAAATTTAGTCCTGTGGAGCTGGACTTGAGATAGGTTAGGTGGGGCAGAAGAAGCAAGGCTTTGTACCTCCTATACCAATAGTGCCCTACAAACTGGCTGTGTACAAATCCATTTCACATGCTATGCTAAGCACTTCTGTTTGTTCTTTCTTGTGTTCTAGGTCAATCAGTGGTGCTCCCTCAGCCCACTGTGGTACAGCTCCAGGCTTCCGGGGTGCTTCCTGCCTCCCAGCCAGTCATTGCTGTCACCGGAGGGAACACACCACTTCACAACCACACGGTGAACACTTTGCCTTCAGCTGCTGGAAATGCCCCAACAAGTGGCAAAATACCGGTGACTAAGCCCTTGCTTCAGAGCACCACACCAGCAGTGGGGCTGGATGTAAGTTCTGAACTGTGTGGTGGTGGCTGATAGCGAAAGCTCATGAACAGTTTTCAGTTACCTACATGTAGGTTACAATGGGAGAACCAGGTCACTTCAGAATCTCAGAAAAACAGAGCTGTAGTTGGGCTTCTCTAATAGGATTTCTAGCAGTAAATGGGGAATTTGGCAGCCTGGCAAAGAATGGGGAGGAACACCTTAATATCTGCTGGCCTACCTGGGGTTGCAGACCAGATACACAAGTATTGTGGCAGAAGACAGTGCTGATGTATTTTTTCCTTTGCTTGTCTTCTCAAACACAAGATTTTAATGGCTGGAGCTCTCTTACATAGAGGAAGACTTGACATACCTGATTTTTGATTAGTGGTAAATAATTTTTCAAATCCATATAATAAGAACACTCCTGGAAGTAGATTGGAAGTAAATTGGAAATGTCAGCAATAGGCCCGATTCTTTTTCTATCCCCTTTATCTCCCTAGATCTTACTTATGAGTTTTGGAAACTTTAGGTATCAAGTTTCGTGTGATCCTCATTGCTTCAGGCTCCTTAATCATATACTGAATGAGTAGAAAAGGGCTAAGATCTCAACAGTCAGTGCACAGATAAATGAGTTTTTCCATAGTAGCTCACAGTAGGCAGTAGGTGTAAACAGAAATGGCTTTTGAGCTAAGTGAGGTTTTTATCTCCTTCAGCTTTGACATCTTAACTAGCTAGCAAACTGGGTGTTAACTTGATTTAGTTCCTAGTGGTTTAGCGCTGCTTTGGTTGCATCTTGCTTGCTTTCCAAAGGAAGATGTGGCTGTGGAAAGTACTCAAGTTTCATGTTTTGTGGTGTTTGTTGTATTCCAAGCGCTGTTGTTGTGAGCTGAGGGTCTTATGCATCTCTCAGTATGAGGAAGAAAACACTGCTGTCCATTTGCGTGAAATTTTGCCGTAGAGCCACCTCCTTATTAGCAGCACAGGACACTTTCTCAAAGGCATGTGCCTTCTGGCTTCTTTGGAAGGGTGTTGTCGTGTGGGTTCTTACTGTCTTGAGAGTTGCCTCTTTTGACTGATGTTAATTTTTTTCCCACTGTTTGTGTTTGTGTGTGGGCTGCACTTCTAGATGCAAATCTATTTGTTACAAATAATTCAGCAGCCAGACTGCAATGAATCTTGATCTTGAATTTGCAAGAAGCTGAGAAAGGTCTGTCAGTAGACAGACCAGTTAGGAGTGCTACATTTTTAAGTGCTGATTGCCTGCTGTGCAAAGCCAAACTGAAGAGACCTGTCAGCAGTCATTATATTTGTGACTTCCTGTAATCGGGACTGGCATGGCACCTTGCCATTGTCTGAATGTAAGGCTTAGTTGTTGAAACCCCTGTGTTGTCATCACACCTCATACACGTCTGTGACAGTCAGGAGTCAAATGTGTAGCTGGGGTAATGAATAGCTGTTTGTTCTGAATGATGGTTGTGTGGATATTTCCACCTGAAGCTGTTTCAGGGAGGTGGTTTTTAGACTTGGCGTCAGCCTAAATGCTACACGTCTTACCTGCCTTTATTGAAGCAGTTGCAACAGCTCTTCGGCACATTTTGTGAAACAGCTCTTTGAAAAAGAGCAAATGTTTTCAGGATACAGCTGGCGCCAGCAGGGTTAAACTCTTGCAACTGCCATAGACACCATATGTGGCCTGAGAGCTGCACAGATGTAGCTGTCATCTGAGCTCTGTAACACGTGTTTTTGTTTGCTAATCTAAGCAGATGTTGCAGGATAGAAAGAAACACTGCAGGACTTTCTTTGGGGCTTAGGAGGGATAAACTGTTAACATAGCACTCAGCCCTTCCAGTGGGTTAGGCTGAGATCTGCTGATAGCAGGCTGTATGCCTGAGGCCTGCGTTGGGCTTGTCCTGATGGCATACACTTGTGCAGCTTGCCAGTCACCAGGAAGGGCCAGGCTTTCAGTGTGGTCACTCCTCCCAAGGAGAATGGTGAGCAGCTTTCCACGAGGAAATTGGACAAAAAAATGCTGCCTAACCCAACCACTTTTCAGGTCAAAGAAGAGATGCTGTTAACTAAAAAAGGAGATTGCCTTTCTTGTTGCTATTAAATAATATGAGTACATAAACAGTAGGTGTGTGAGGGAATCCATTTGAGTTGTGTCCTTACAGGGTCTTTCTCTCATGCTTCCACACTGTACTGAGAAAGGATTTAATTCTGTCTCCCAGTTCCGTTGATTAAAAAAGAATATTAACAATTGACAATTTAGAAAAAATTAGATTACAAAATATTACTTCAACATAAGCATGGCCTTCTATTATAGAATCCTGTTATATGCACTGTACATTGAGTCATTTTCATATGAAATTAGTTGTTAAATTAGTAGTCAGTCAAGTTGTGTTCCGTTGAGTTGGAGACAAGAAAACCTTTATCTTTCGTAAGAGCAGAGAGCACACTTGCGTAGGTTTTGTATTCCCACATTTAAGATACATCTTCAAAGACAGCAGCTTTCATAAGCTGAGGTAAGAAGCCAGCCAGTGTCATGGTGAAATGGTTTGTACTTTCAGCTCTTTGTTAACTTTCCCAGTGTGTGTACCAAAACCTCTGTGGAGCATGAGAGACAATCTTCCTCCCTTGTGCTAGAAATGCAGCTTGCACTGGAATGGAGGTTAAATTTTGCTCCAAACTGCATTTTCTTTGGAAGACTAAATTGAGGTAGCAATGTTTATTTGTAAAGTGCATGACTCTGTAAAGATTGTGATGACAGAGGACAATCTGAATCCAATTAGTACTGTTTGAAGCAAGGTTTTGCAATGAACGTTTCACTTCTCCGTGTTTACAACATCTTTTTTTGTGTGTTGTTGGTGGTGTAGTTTATAAAGCTGGCAAACAGAAATTGCATCACTGATTGATTTTAATACCAGTGTTTCCCTTAAGTAGTCTCTGTTTCCTGTGAACCAAAAGTTACCATCTTGAGTGGTGAATTAATACAATACGACCTACAAAGAGTGAGGCTGCAAAACATGTTAGCAGAGGTGTTTGCTATGTTTAATCTTTGTTCAGCACTTCTGCAAGGAAATATTGCATAAGCAGTCTGTGCCTTATAAATTATTTCCTCTCTCTTCTGAATATCAAAACACTGAAGCAAGGGGTATGTTTATCTTGATGCCAAGCTGGTTCTGTAATGCTTAGTGCTGCCCTGCTTCCAAGTTCAGGCACTGCTGCGCTATTTCACACACACAACTCTGTCCAGTGCCTGCATCAGATTTAGGCAGGATAAGGTGTGCAGTTGTGGCTTATTCTCCAAGAAAAGCCAGGCAAGCAGTAGAAGGCTGACCAAAGACTTTAATCTATTTTAGGGATTGTCAATTAAAGTAACTCGAGGACACGAATTGTTTGGTTTCATTTAAGTAAGCTTAAGAAACGAGTGGAAGTGAAACTGGCGTGGCATAGACTCAAATGCCATTATTGCACAGAGTACCTTGAATTGGACTGGGGAGGGCTATTGTTTCCCCACAGTGTTTGGAGAACACTGAGTAAAGGAGGGCAGTCTAGATAAATACCTTCTGAAATGTAGCTGGCAGTGTCTGAAACAACAATAACTTAGGATGTACTCTTAGTGTACAAACACTGAAGTGGTGCTTTAACTCCACATTTTCTCCACAGAAGCAGGTAGATTTGCAAGAGGTTCCAGGCACTTAGTCAAAAGCTATCCAGTAGTGAATAATCCTGAGCAGGTCTGCAAACAAGAATGGATGTAAACAATTCGGTTTTGCATCATGAAATCAAACAGAAGAAACCTTTCTAAAAAAAAGGAATGCAACTACTTGTTTGGAATATTGTACAACTCAAGCCAAAGCTGCTGCATGAACTCATTCTTTATTGACAGCTGAAGTGATCCTGGCCCCAAACTGGTGTGTTGTGTTCTATACGCTGCAGTCCTTGGCTAGCCCGAGGTTTTTTTTCCCCAAAGTTTTTATACATTTCCAGAAGTTTTTTTATGTATTTTAAGGCAAAGTTTAGTGTTAATAAAAATAAGTTTAAATCTTTTCCTGCTCGACTTTATGCTAAAGAGAGAAATTGGAGCAAGTACAGACAGCTTCCTTTTCACAGATTTTGTTGGTGGCAGCAGGCTAGCCATATAATAAATGATCTTTACAGAGAGTGATTAGATCAACATGGAGAGAGCCCAAAATGTTAATGCACTGTAACGTGTTTTCTTAGTCTTTGTCACCAGTCTGCAGTATCATGAAGAAGAATGACTTCTTCAGGCAGCCGTAGCCAATTTCTCTTGCAGACACCAAAGCTCTAGAGTAACATATTGTCTGTCTGTGGGTATATACAGAGAGAGAGTTGGAAGGCTACAGTTAGGGTGATTTAAGCAGCCAGACCTTAACTGGAGCACTCTATCTGAGTTCGTTATTGTTACTGTTCTATGACTTGTTTATTTTTTTTCCTAGACTGATACTTCTAGAATATTTCTCTTTTTTTCTTTAGCTTTCATGCTCTACTAGATACAGGTTACTCCAGCGCCGTGTGTAGATGGCTACTGGAGGATATTCAGGTCTGTGTAAGATACAGCATTCAGTTCTCTTTAAATGTGAACTTCCTTAAGGTACAACCTGTTGCAGCATAATAATGGGATAGAAGTCTTTTTGATAAAAACAGAGTTGCTGTTGCTGATCTATGACGGAAAGGAATAACAGAGTTGTATTTAAATTTAGGATTTCAGTCAGTTTTGTATAGCTCTGCAGTATTGATAGTTGTTACCCTTGTCAGCAGCAAGATGTGTTCAGCCTAGGTCATCCCACTCGGTGCAAAACACAAAATGAGTAGGTGGTAAAAGATGATAGACTTCCTGCTTGGGGAAAAAAAAAATATTCAGAGTCATCAAGACTGTTGGAGGACGGGGAGGAGTTCCTTTGAACTGTCCTGGTCTGGCCTTGCAGGCTGAATGCCTGCTAGTGGTTGGAGTGAATTATGTGCCCTCCTGGAGTATATTTGCTGGTTTAGCGTCATCCAGAAGGAATCTGGTTTGTGTGCTCCATCGGAGACTGTTCTGCAGTGTGAACCAAAGCATATTAAGTGGGACAATCAGGAAATGTGCATCAAAGCCACACTCCTGCTCTGAATTAAAATGCTGAGACTGTGTTTAACTGCTGTGTAAGTGCTTGATACACATAGAATGTGCAATCTGAGGTCAGCAACAGTATGCAAAAGCTGTATCGCATATCTGAAAAAGGTACAGAAATGGGTGTAATCAATGTGGAAATACCTTTTATACAGGTCAAGGTGAAAAGCCATAGGACTTTCCAGTTAAGAAAACAGGTGACTGATTGTAGTCTATAAAATAGTGTATGGTGAAGTGAAGGTGAAGGATGTTCTTGCTACCTTGCAGACTTGTAGAAATGTATTTTCTGTCTTTGTGATTTGATTCATCAAATTGAACTGCTGCTGAAGTATACATTTTGTGTCTCCTACATATAGAAGGTTGAGAATGCAGGAGAAAACAGACACAAGTGCAGGTACAGTTTCCTAGTTACCCATGAGCTCTAACTCTTGGAGGTGTACCGTGATTCCTAGTTGCTTCTGTGCTCAACAGTTCAGCTCATTTGAGGCTGAGTGCGGGGAGCTGTCTGCAGACTTTTGACAAAGTAGAGGAGCAGAAATTATGCATGAAACAGGGGTACTTTTAATTTGTGGATCACTAACAGGCCTCTGTATTGTCTGTCCAGGTCAATGTCCTGAGAAGGCAGCAGCGCATGATCAAGAACCGCGAGTCAGCCTTCCAGTCACGGAAGAAAAAGAAAGAGTACATGTTGGGTCTGGAGGCAAGGCTAGAGGCAGCCTTACTGGAGAATGAGAAACTCAAGAAAGAAAACAGCACACTGAAGAGGCAGCTGGATGAAGTGGTATTGGAGGTGAGAGATTGTGATGAAGATCTGAGTTTATAGAATAAAGACAGTTGCTCGGGTAGAAAGCACTTGAAAGAATTGTGGAAATGTTGATTCAAAGACCTCTGGGGTTTTCAGGCCCAGACTCCCACTCCAAGGAGGGGCTTTCATCAACTCTAGGTCAGGATCTTGTTGGCTTTTAATTATTTATTTCACGGTGTTTCTGAAGATGTCACTGAGAAGATAGACTGGATAGAAGCTGAATATAATGTACAAACAAAGGAGTTTTATTTTTAAGTAGTTCTGGCCTATATTCATATATAATTAGGCAAATATAAATCTAAAAAGCACGTATAATTTGGTGTATTTAGCTACTGACATGCCTTTGCATGTCTGTGCCCCTTGTTTATTGCATGTCTTCTATGTTTTTTCCTGTTTAGAACCAGAAGCTCAAAGTATCATCTCCAAAGAGAAGGACCCTGTGTGTGATGGTGATACTGGCTTTCATAATGTTGAATTATGGTCCATTAAGGTAAGTTGCCTAAAAGTTCCTCTTTGCATAGCAAGTTTGCTGTCCTGTGATTTTTGTTTGGATCTTTAATACAGACAGTGTTGTGTTTTAAAGCCTTGAGCTTGAAACCTGACTTCCACCCTTTACTCTCCTGCATAAGAGAAGACTTATCTGTATAATGGTTCCTCTTTTGGAATCCCTCTGGCAACAAGAGCTAGATGTTGTACTTTTAATTTCTCTTGGCTTGGCGTTTTGTTCACCGGTGCAGTGTACAGCAGTTTGTCTGCTCCATTTGCACCTGAAGAGATTGAAGAGTTGTGTTTAAAATCCTTTTAGAAAAAAGTGTCAGACTTTGAGAGCTCATCTTCTTGTTTATACCTGCACTAATCTCAATAGCTGTGAGTTTAAGCTGCTTCCAGTACTCAGTGTAGGAAATCCTGTTGTTTGCTCCAGTGCTTTGCAATCCTGACCATTAGATGTGTCTAGTTGCAATCTTCCTCATTATAGCATAAGCCCTGTATTACTTGTCTTTTAGATCTGGTGAAGAGGTTAATTAGTTGAAGTGGTAATATAAAACATCTTGTTTGAACTGTATCAGTGGAGTATAGGAACCAGAGAGCCGGAAGGAAACATTGCATTAATTCCCAGACACTTTATAAAGAAATCTGTGGAAGAGAGAATACTAAAAAGGGATACTTTTTGCACATATCTGTCTATTTAAAGTGGCTTTGGAACCTTTTATATGAAGCTGTTCACTTTGAGAAAGGGAAGGATATTTCAGTAGATTCCCAGTGAGCAGTGTCTCTATTATTAGTCCTCAAAACTCCAGTCAAACTAAAGGAATGGGATGGGGTAAATCTGGAGGAAGACTTTATTTCTCGCTATGCTAAATTTTTAAAATATTGGTGTTTGTATTTTCATTAAAAATGGCTAAAGCTGAGATTACTTTTGAAGTATTTGCACTTATTGCAAACACTGCTTATCTCAAGCAGTGAAATAGAGCTGATAATCTTACTTCGATGTGGGTGATTTTAAGGTAAACCATTTCTTAGTGCATTTGGGGTTTGTATTAGGATTTTTGACTATCAGGCAAAAAAATCATCTTCCAGATACTAAGTGATTGATTTGTACATCCCATCTGCACTTGCAAACGTTACCGCTCGCTTGAGAGATGCCTGGTGAGAACTAGTAGAACCAGTAATCTTTCTGAAGCTGGGAAAAATTTTAGTTGTCTCCACATTACAGTGAGGAGTTGGAATGCATGAAGCTCCTGTTAGTTTTGAGAGGTGTGGAAATGTACAGAAGGGCTCTATAGTTCCTCTGTCAGCTTCTCCACCCCCAGGAATGAGCAAGGTGTTGAGCTTGATGGAATGAAACTGCTGTCAATGTACACTGAAAGATCAGTTTGTATTCCTGTTTTGCCACAATTGGTAACTACAAAAATGTGACAGAGTTAATTTCTTGACCTGTTGATGTTTAATAAAGTAGATAAAGTAAAAAGAGGTTCTTGGATGTCTGGCTCTTCCTGGCCAAGCATACCAGTATAATTGCTGTGCCTGAATTAGGTGGTCTGCATCAGTACTGGATTTAGAAAGTGAAGTGTCGTTGGAAATCTGCAAGGAATTACTCTTATATTTTTTGGCCTTTTTTTTCCCCCTATCAGAATAAATACTTGCTGTGCAATTAAAATTCTAGACTGTATCAAGGTGGTGTGAAATTTGGTTGTGCAATACCCTTTGGAAGGCCCAGAATGTGGGATATACAAACTGTTACTTAGGAGTTCACTTCTCACATATGCATTTTCTTCCTTTTGTAGAGGTGTCACTGAATGTTAGCTCCAGAAACTTGACAGTCATGACTGCTGTTCTGATTAGTCCTTAACAACAGAAGCTTCCAATACATGTGCTGTTTTTCAGTCAGCCCCTGAAACTCCTTACAGAAATAAGTAATTTTTTGTTCTAATATTCATGCTAGCTTATAATTCAGCAAAAGTACTTTTTTCTCCCTAGTTAGCTAACTGTGGAATACCTAATTTCTATGCAGTGGTCAGCTGGAGATAAATACAACTTGAAGCTTTGTGACAGTGTTGCCGTTTCTTCTATGTAGGAAGTAATTTCATTTGCACACCTGTATGGAGGTCTGACAGCATTCAGGCACAGGATGTTTTAATTAAAACACATTAGTAGTGGATCTTTTATTATTTAAAACCAATGAACCGTTGCAGAAGGGAGAGCGACTTCCAAAAAAAAAAAACAAAATCGTGGGAAATTCACTGCCTAAATTCTGTAGCAGACTACAAAATTCCCTTAACTGTTCTTGTTTGTGAGACGCTTCTCAGATTCTTAATTGTAAGTGGTAGGATTCTTTGAAGGCTAGAGGTACACCAAAAGAATGTATACATAGATTTTCTCTTTAGTTGCCCATTTCTGTCAAACCAGAGGAAGCGGTCGGGTTGTTCTGGGATGGGATGTGAAGCTGAAGGGCTGGCAGTCCTGCAGACCCTCTGTGGCCTGCAAAGGGACAGCAGAGGCACAGTATTTGGGCACTTGGCATCCCAGAAAACTCCTCATCTGGCTGGCTGGCTGCTTAGTTGGGTCTGTGTGTTCTTCTGCATTCATGCCTGTGGGTTGCACTGACACTGGTTCACCCAGAATTTTGTTTATTTGTCTTAAGTCTTGTTGACTGTGTGTAAACGGTGTAATGTTCAGGATGTTTCATGGAGGACTCTGAGGCTGTGCTGTTCTGCTGTTTTAAGATTATAGGAAGCAGGCCAGCATGTGGCAGCCCTTGGCAAACAAGTTTAGCAGATAAAACTGTTCTGATGATGCATTTTTTCATGCTGATAAATATACTAATGGGTAATCTGTAACACTGGACCTGAGAAAAAGGGAGCAAGGCTGAAAGTCTGGAGGGGAGGTGGTGTATTGATCCAAGAAAAGTGTTTGAAAATCTCTGGTGGGGAGAGCCTAAGCCAATCTGCTCGATTGCCAAAAAGCTTTTCAAAACATCGTTCAGTCTTGGACATGACACCATGTTATCTTTGAAAGAAGAATGTAAGTCAAATTAAATACATATTGAATATAAATGTGAATTGAATACTTTCTGGTCATGAAAGTGGCTTGTATAGAGTTAATGGTAACTCTGCATTGTATTGTACTGTGTTACTAATCTCTTTAGGCTTTATTGATATTTTGCATAGAAAACTGAACCTTTCAATTATTAAAAGCAGAAGTAATTTAGCAGGAATTTTATTTTATCTCTTTGCTTTATACTGGAAGAAAGGTGCCCAGGAATTTTCCATCTGTGTGTCAATGAACTATTCTCTAATCTTTGTGAATTATTTGGACTTGAATTTAACGTCTATATAAACTTCCTTTTATTATTATTATTTAAGAATGATCAGTGAGGTGTATGAAGGGAAAAGGGTACATTTTGATTCAATTCCTTGCAAAGGTCACCCCCTTGCCCCAGTCTTACATACTGTGAGGTGCAAGACAGGGGTTGGCAACATGTAGTATTTGCACAAAAGGCAGTAAGCATACAAACCTTGGCATGCAGCAGGGTTGGGAGCTGGAACCATGACGTCTGGAGGCAGGTATCTGTGGGAGGCAGTGTCTCCTGCCTTTGCACTTGCCTTCTGTGAGAGCCAGCATCGGTCGGCATGGCTGTGTTCTCAGCTGGCACAGCAACCCTGAAAGATTACTGGTTTCTGGCATTAAGAAACGCTTAATCAGCTAATTAGCTATGCATTTTTTTTTATCACTTACAATGTGTAATAGTTGGAAAATTTTCAGATTTCAATTCCTAGATGCCTTTCTTTTTTTTCTTGTTTAATTTCCACATTTGTGTTAGACTCTGCCTGGGTAGTAACCAGATCTGAAAATGCATCAAAACAAGCACAAACGATGTTGTAACAAATGGAAATCAAGCACATATTCTAGTCTAAACAATCTGTGTATTTATTTGGGGAGTATTTTTTCTTTTGTTTTTCTTCCCTGTTCCCATTTGAATATAAATTGTCCTCTGTGTGTGTTTTTTTTAATGCAAGTCCTACATGTCATACTAAAATATTTGCAGGAAACTAAACCAAATAATGTATAAAAAATTGAGAAGGGAGAACAATCTCAGAAGATGCAAAAGGTAAGTATTTTGCATCTGTGCTTCTTGGGACAGTAGCAGCAAACCATGTAAGCCAGGTACTTGATAGTGGCCCTGGCATTATTTTTTTGGCTATTAAAAATGTTCAGCTAGTTATTTTTTCCCCCTGATCAGTCTGATCAAGCTTATATGGTGGTCATCACCTAACAAGTCTTAGAGCATTTATAAAAATGTCAGCCAGCCAGAATGTGTCCTAAATACCATTTCAGATATTTAGTTGACAGAAAACCAAGGGAAAAAAAAAAGTTGCAGGGATGAAAAGCAGATCTGCTTTTGGAACAGGGTTGAACAGATTGGAACAGGGACTTTGAGAAGATGGTGTGACTTTATTTTTTAATTATTATTATTATATTTTAAATTAACTTTGGTTTTTCTTAAAGTTGACCACCTATGTATGGCTGGAGCCCCTTTCAAACTGGAAAACAGACTTGATGGTGTAGCCAAAAATTCCTCAGCTATATTTGTGGTGGAGGATGACTGAGGTGGTGATCGATGGTGCCAAGTAAAGCTGCTGCTTCAAAACCTCTTGTCCTGTTGACCTACAGCAGTTGTGCTTTAATTGCTGGCCTTTGTAGGGACTTCACTGCAGCTCTTCTATAGAGGCTCCTGATGGATCTTCCTCTACTTTCCAGGACTAGCCTGGAGACTGAATAATCTATTGAAAGTTTAGATCCACATAGCAATCTGCAAATAAAGATGCTAGCCTTGGTGGCTGAGAAATGTCATTTGTCTGCTATTGTTGTAGACTGCAAAAAAGGAAGAAGCAGTGATTTTTGACTCTTGAAAGACTTAGGGGTGTGTCTCATTTCTTAGACTGGTAGGGCAAACATTAGGGGAAAAAAAGCAGAAATGGTAAGATTAAT